AAAATGAAACACCCAGTAGCTAATAGGACCCATTCTATTTAGAAGCCAGATTAGTAACCCACTACAATAATCAGAGAATGTCCTTTGGACTCCTTTTGTATTTGAAGAGATGACAGTGAGAATTTTACAAAGCTGATGGAAGATACTAAGATTTTTAGTTGTGCCTCTGTGGGAAGATTGATCTGCAGTTACATAGTTTACCATTATAGGAAGCAGAAGTATCTCCCTTACTATTCATAGACAGTTACTTGAAAAATCTAAGAGTTAATACAGAAGCATACCTATTTCACAATTTTCTATATTGTTTTAAACTGTGGAACATTTCTGTAACCTCAAGAGAGTATGGTACTGACTACGTGAAGATCGAGGTTGGGTGTATCCTTAGTGATGGAATAGGAGAGTGAATTTTGGATGAAAATGTATCTTTCTTTTTACTACAAAAATATACCATAATAATGCTAATGAAGAGTTCTTATAAATAAGAAAGTTGCAGATACCATATGAAATAAGCTTCCTTTGGTATCAACTCTTTTTGTTTTTTGTTTTTTGTTTTCTTTTTGAGATGGAGTCACACTTTATTGCCTAGGCTATAGTGCAGTGGCTCGATCTCAGCTCACTTCAACCTTCACTTCCCAGGTTGAAGCCATTCTCCTGCCTCAGCTGTCCAAGTATCTGGGACTACAGGTGCACATCACCACGCCTGGCTAATTTTTGTATTTTTAGTAGAGACAGGGTTTTACCAGGTTTGCCAGGTTGGTCTCAAATCCTGGCTTCAAGTGATCCACCCGCCTCAGCCTTCCAAAGTGCTGGGATTACAGGCATGAGCCACTCTGCCTGGCCTGGTATCAACTCTTTACAAGACATTAACAAATCTGATTCTTTCACTGTAATTATTTTGTTACTGAAGTAGGTATAAACCTGAAGACCTAGATCAAACAAAATCATGCTTTTTTTTTTGTTTTGTCTTTTTTAAGACAGGGTCTCACTCTGTCGCCCAGGCTAGAGTGCAGGGTCGCAATCTCGGCTCACTGCAACCTCGGCACCCCCGCTCCCTAGCTCAAGCAGTTCTCCCACCCCAGCCTCCTGAACAGCTAGGACTACAGGAGGGCACTACCATGCTTGTCTAATTTTTTAAGGTTATTGTAGAGACAAAATCGCTCAATGTTGTCCAGCCTGGTCTCAAACTCCTGGGTTCAAGCAATCTCTCCACCTTGGTTTCCCAAAGTGGATTACAGACAGGAGCTCATATGTGGGATTATGTATATGAGTCACCACACCTAGCCATTTCTTTTTTTCAATAAGAAGGATTTTCAATACCTAGCTGATCTCTACCCTCCTTTAATAGGAATCTGTGTTGTGGACAGTTACAGGTAGGTCTTATATTCATGATGTGTGTATCCCTGGAACCTGTTGAAATTGAAGAGGGTTAGAAGAAGTTCTGTTATTAATAGTGGGAGTATCATGTGCAATTTTTTAAACCAAATAGTATTTCCATAGACTTGGTAAGTTTCAGAAACTATTTGCTCTGTTATATAGCCCAATGAAATACTGAGCATAAATATATTTTGTTGAACAGTTATGAAATTGGTATGAGATTTTGTACTTGAATATATCTTAACAGGAAACGTGTTAGATATCTGTTAAGCCCAAACAAAGCTGTACTTTTATCCTTGGCATTTTGTATATCAGGTTGTTTTGTGGTGCTTCATTAAAAGCTGTAAGTACAAACTGCCAATTTCATAATTGGTCATGAATCTCTTGAAAGTTTTTGTAGCTGCATAGGCAGAAAAGGCCTAGAGAGAAAAAAATTATATATCTTTTAAGTTACATCATTTTATTTATTTTATTTTTATTTTTTTGAGACAGAGTCTCACTTTGTCACTTAGGCTGGAGTGCAGTGGCATGATCTCGGCCCACTGCAACCTCTGCCTCTTGGGTTCAAGCAATTCTCCTGTCTCCACCTTCTGGGTAGCTGGGACTACAGGTGCATGCCACCACAGCCAGCTAATTTTACTATTTTTGCTAGAGACGGGGTTTCATCATTTTGGTCAGGATGGTCTCCATCTCTTGACCTCATTATCTGCCTGCCTCAGCCTCCCAAAGTGCTGGGATTATAGGTGTGAGCCACTGCACCTGGCCCCCGTCATATTATTTTATAAAGGAATGGTGGAAAATGAAATATTGTGCTACAACTGAGGTGTGGCACAGAAAACTAGGGCAACACTTACTTTTAGAAATATCAAGTGTTATTCACTGTTTTAGAATTAATTACATAATTATCTACCAGAACACAAAGATCCCAGGGTACGTTAATGGAAACACTACATTTCCAAATAAAATAATAATAATTATCACCTACGGTATTCAGAGTGCTTTATTAGCTATAATTTTTAACTCCCCACCTCTCTGTGTGTAAATAAACATCACTAAGAATATTAAACTTTTCAATAGTTTAGAAATAATAAAACTAAGGCAGAGAAATTGATGTGAATGATAAGTTAGGCATTATGGCTTGAATCATTTAAAGAGGCAGGTATTCAATAGGAACAATAGATGCTAACGAAGTACAAAAATCATTCTTGGAACTATTCATAAATTACTAGTTGGTAATTAATTAAATGTATTACCTTTCTTCCAAAATGAGTGATCGAATTAATTTAAATTTTGTAAACAATGTCACAATGGCAGCATTGAGACTATTGGAAATTCCTAAGAGTGATGGAACTTACTTTAGAATCACCATCCCAGGCACGTGGTAGTCACACGAAGTTGTATGTCATTAAAACCATTGGATTGGGAGACTGAAGAGACGTAATAAATTGAATGTCACAAGAGTTCGATTGGGGGATAAATCTAGGTTTACACGCCACATCTTACCAACAGAACAATGCTTTTTTTCCATGGAACAGTAGCAGTTTGTTACTGTTTCCAGTGAGACACTTGCAGTCTGTTAAGATGGCCATGAAAGTGTTAGGTAGAAACTGTGGGCCTCCTGGACACTTGATGCCCCTTTATAGGACTGTAATCACTAAGGTGAAACTGCCATTGGAACAGACTGTCATAGAGCCAAGAAAAACTAAAGCCATCCCTAAAACACTGCAGCAAAAAGTCAAGGTGAAATGTGATGGGTCAGGCACAAGTCATAAGCCTACAAAGTAGAGGGACGTTCTCTGATATAGTGTTTCAGAACTGCAGACTCATTAGAGAGAGAAAAAAATGTGTGATTAATGCCCATTTGGGAAGAATCTGAGGCAGAAGGAAGCCAGCCAACTAAACTTCATTTGGGGAGATAAGTAAGACAAATCGTGACCTTGCAAAGATCTGAAACAGCTCTGCTACAGGGCCATTTGAACAAAAGAGTGAACACATTCTAGCCTGACTCTGCCTTGCTACTCTGAAATGGTTGCAGTGGAGAGAGAACAGTGCTTGGAGATTTCATCATAGAAAGATCATTGGTGAATGGACAGCCTACGGACCAAACATTTAGGTTAGGTACGCATTTCTTATGCTATCGAATTTATTTTTCTATGGCGAGAATCTCTTTGTCTGTTGGCACCCATTGCCTAAGATAATTGATGCACAATACATATGCAGGTTCTGATTCATTTGGACAGTAGGGTATAGTGGGAATAAAAATACCTTCTCAGTACAATTTGCTCCCAAAGATCCAAAAATGATTTGCCCCAAAAATCATTCACTGCTGGATGATGATGATGATGATTTATCTTCCTGATAGACAACTGGAAGAAATTTCCATACTATCTTACTTACCCCTCTAGTTGAGGACTAGGGATTTGTTGAAACTATAGAAACTGCTTGCTCATTATTCACCTGTCCTTGAGAATTGAACCTTGAGCTTTGAATTAAACTTCTGTTCAACTGATAAGAATTTTTGACAGTACAGTGCTCAAGGAATTACTGATTCTTATACCTAAGAATGAAAGAAACAAAAAGACATGCCGTAAGAGTTTCAAACTTCACATTAGATACACTGTCAAACCATAACATCTAATTCTAAAATGATCATTAACAGGAACATGGTTTAGAAAAACTTCTAAATTTATACTAAAATAAAAGTAAATATTTAGACTTAGTTATATCTAATCTACATAAGATCAAAGTTGTTATGTCACTCATCTAAGTTTTAAACTGGTGAAAGTGCACTTAAAATATATGTGAAAGCTCTTTGATTTTGCATTTCTAAGGGTGGAGAGAAGCCATAGCATTTTATAAACAGTGTGATATTGAGAAGACCTTTGTAACTTTATTTAATGTTTGTTACTTATGAGTGCTTTTAAAGCTACATATATATGTCGCACAGCATATTGTGCACTTCTAAGGAAAATTCAAACTAAAAAAGTTATGGCCAGTTAATCTTTCCAATGAGCTGAAAAAACAAATGCTCTTCCTTTGCTGCCCTAAAACCCTCCAGATCTTTTATGGACAGCATGCCATTCTTCTCTTTCGCCTTTCCTATTGTAGTTTAGGTACCCTCCTTTTCCAGCTGCATGGTAAATGGATTCTTGCTCTTTTCTTCCTCCTCCCAACTTTTTTTCCTCTCTGAATACATTTCACAGACGACCATCTTCCAAAATAACGGCATCAATTAATTTTTTAACTAAAAAAAAAATCGTTAGCCCTGAGTCTGCCCTCTCCATTGATGTGTAGCGTGTGTGGAAGAGGCTGTGCAGGGACTGATAAGCACCTATTTGTGAAGGTGCTTCAGTAGGAAGCAAGGCCTTTGAGGCACTCACAAATGGTGCTATTTATTCAGCCAGCCCCAGTTTCAGGTGAGTTGATGAGTTGACCCACGCATCTCACAGGGCTCTAAAACTGAGCCACAAGACAGCCGCTGAGGGATGGGAAGCAGCTGTTCTTCTGTGCCCGAGACTGGAAATCAGTCCTTGTTTTTAATTTTGCATAGATAACAGTTTGTTCCTTGACGTTTTCTCTCAGTTAACTATTAGGATTTCTCACTACACTTCTGTCCCTTTTTGCAGAACCCGATGACCTCCGAGGGGACCCTGCACTCAGCCATCAAAGTGCTCCTGCCCACCTGGATGCTCATAATTCAATGGTAGATGCAGGTGGAGTTGAGAACATCACCCAGCTTCCCCAGGAGCTTCCTCAGATGATGGCTGCAGGTAAATGCCAGTGGCCAGCAAAGGAAGCAAACAAGGCTTTCTTGAGTTCTTCGCGGAAAATCTTGCCCTGCCTTGAAAAACTTGCATTGAACCAGGAGCCTGGACCCTTAAAGAAATCAGGCTGTAGAACTAGTGAAAATGAAACAGTCAAATTTGACACATTCTCTGTTTTGTTTTGGGTTCTTTAAGCTTTATGCTACTTGTTTTTTAAATTTTATTTATTTATTTAGAAATACTTCGGAAAAGTCACTGTAGGTAGACACTTGCATTTTCTTAATGTAATAATGTAAAGGTTTATAAATGAAGGAATATGTTATGAGGTAACAATAAATTCAGACAGGACCAGTTTCACTGCTTGACAACTATTTTCTTATTAGAAGGCCTTTCTGCTCAAGAATTACACCTGGAAACAGTAAGCAAGTTAACGTGTTTTACCAAGAGAGTTTACTGTTTTGCAGCTCAGCCTTATGACTTAACTAATGTTGTTTCACTGGGAGAAGGAAACAATTCTTTAATTTTTTCCAGGGGTACCTCCTTAATAGCATACTGTGTATAATATAAACTACATGTCATTAAGTTTTCTCCCAGAAACTATTTGGAAACGCTTTATGTTTTAAGTCTGGAGAAAACATTGCTGTAGATTATAGTTCTTTATTTTTTTGTAGATTGGGAATGTGCTAAATGAAGCTTCACATCTCTAGAAATGTGATTTTCTTTCAAACAAACGCCCTTGCCTATGGGCTCTAAATCATGGTTTGTTTCTTCCCACAGCAGCTGATGGTTTGGGGAGTATAGCGATAGACACGACCCAGCTCAACATGTCTGTGACAGATCCGACAGCCTGGGCTACAGCCATGAATAACCTGGGCATGGTTCCCGTGGGGTTGCCTGGACAGCAGCTCGTGTCTGGTAAGCGTTCTCCTGGTGTCAGAGATACTTGCAGCAGTGCCGAAGGGTGTAGGGGACAGGTGTCTGGTAATCTCTCCACACCGCGAGTGTTGAACATGCTCTTTGATTTATGACTAGGGCATGTTTGGCAAGTTGTGCTTGAGATTCTTTTCCTCATCACCTATCTTTTCTGCTTAATAGCTGTTCTCAGAAAAAGCCACGCTAACTGTTGTTGCTATACACGGTCTTGCAACATCGATTGCATTTTTTAAATTGGTAAATGGAATGGCTAATATTTGCTTTCCAATTTGCAAAACTCATTCACCTACGTTATCCCATTTGATTGCACTGTCTTCCCTTTGTGATAGGTAGATATTTATTTTTGTTATTGCTTTTGTTAACGTTTCCATTTTACAAATAGAGAAACAGAAGAGCAGAGTTTAGGTGACTTTTCAGTAAACTCAGCTCAGCTGACACTAAATTCCATTTTCTGTCCACCACATGGTGGAATCGTAATACAATACATGCATTCGGTAGAGAAAATGTTTAGAAATATCACGAAGTCAAAAGTTACCTAAAAGATTTAATCATTGAATTTAACAGGTGTTTGCTGAGGGTTTTACATATGCCCTGTAAAAAGTGCTTTGAGAAATAGAATAAGTATTACATGTATATAAGTGTCTTTGAAGAGTCTTTCTCTCTAAATTGAAACAAAATAAAACACCAACAACTGAAAAACAATAATAAAAATGATGCATAGAATCAGGTGTGTTAAGTAGCGTGCAGACTGGTAATGTGATTGATAATGAGATCAGTCACTGGGGCTCTGAGGAACAATGTTATCAGGAAGGCAGGGCTTGAGCTAAATCTGTAGAGATGAGGAGGATTTATATATTCACTCACTCATTCATTCATTCAACAAATATTCATTGAGCCACTGTCCTGGTGCAAGGGCTCCAGCAGTAAACAAGACAAGCATGGTCTGTCCTCTGAGAATTTATAGTGGAGAGGTGACAATCAGGTATTATGCAGTAGTCATTGTTATAATGGCACAAGAAAAATTCACCTTTGGCCATCAAGGTAGGTGAGGGTGGTTGGTGTCCATTAAGTAGAAACCAATCACTTTTGGAATGTTACTAATTTCTACTCCCACATACCTGTGCACTTTGTGCTGCGTTGACCAAGCATTTGTTTTTTTTTGTTTTTCTTTTTGGTCAATTAGTGGCCATAGATGAAAAATTCCAAATTAATTTTAGTAAATAATATATGTGTGTGTATGTGTATATCTGTATATGTGTGTACAGATATACACATACACACACATATATAATATATATGGTTTCTTTTATTAGAAGATCATGGATTAGAAAATGGATTAGAGACCAGGGAAAGTGGGAGACAAAGGAAATACAAAGTCTGAGTTTTAAAACATTGTATCTAGAATATCAGATTCTTCAAAATGCTATCAAATTCATACAATTGAAGATTAGTCTGCTTCAGGGAGGAGGGTGTACATAAATGACATTTTCTATGGTTGGAACATGTGTTTATCCAGGCCCTTTTTCCCTAAAGCTTACCTAGGCAGATACTTTCTTCTAACTGGAGAGTAAAGATTTCTGTTATTTCACCAAGTTTCCCCAGCTGCCTAACTAAAATATCCAGAGAGCAAAAGTTACCTTACTCGTCTCACCTCCTGCTTCTCAGAAAATGTGCAATTCTAGAGTAAGCCAAAACCTTAATAATTCATTATTTTTTCTTGTGATTTTTGAGCCCTCTGACATTTTAACTGTGACCAATTTATGATTTTCCCAGCAACTTGCCATGAAAAGAATTACAGCTCTACTTGTTACACAAGATTTGCCGTATCTGCTCCAAATTGTTTTTTCTATCTCCTGTATTAGCCAATTGCCTGAACTGTTTTTGAGCCTTTCAGGGTCTTTCAGGGCTTCCCTTCATCATTTACACAGCCTGATAATTTAACTGCACTTTGCTTTGTTCTCAGGGCCGCCAGCCAACTACATTTCTTGACACAATCTCAGAGTCAGGTTCTGTTGTGTTTGATTAGTGTTTATGTATTTTATTCCAGTCTTTTTTCTGTGTATTTCAATCATATTGAATATAACAGTTTCTATTATGCATTTTTAACTTCTTATCCTAAACTATTTTTCCATTGTATTCTTTTATATTAAAAATTTAAAAACAAGCCATCAAAGAAGTCTTCCCAGATTACTTAACAATTCTACTATTTACATTTAGCCTGTATTCATTTTTTCACTGGTACTAGCCAAGTTTCTTTAAAGAACTTAGTCTCTCTGAGCATGCAAAAACATTTTGCCTTTTCTATAAAATGGTGATCGTATCTATTTCATGGAACTGTTGTAAGATTTAAATGGGATAATTTATATAACCGCCATATGGTAAGCATACATTAAAAATTCTTCTTACTCCTTTGTTCTTATTCCTTCCTTCCTCCTTTTTCCTTTTTTAAAGCAAAGAATACATTTTTGCTTTAAAACATTTCAATGAACATTTTTATGCATGGGACTTTTAGCTGTTAGAATTACTTCCATTGGATAGACTCGTACATGTGAAACTAGTAGGCCAAAAGAAATGAACATTTTCAAGTTTCTTGTTAAGTACTGATCAATTAATTCCCAAAATATACATATGGATTTCACATTTACTAATTTGATATGCAAAAATGGCATCCTATTATTTTATTTAAAATTATTTTATAACTACCCTTGTTTATTTTTTTACCCTTTATTTTCTATTCATATGTTATCTTTTATAAATTATTCTCACACTGTATCCATTTATCAGATAGGGTTCTTGATAATTTTTGGGGGGGTTTATATTTGGGCATTTGTTAAACATTTTAATACTCAGACTTCATATTTCCTAAAAATATCTTGTCCATGTTTTGACTCCTAATGTTGGTTCTTTTTTATGGTTTTTATATTTAATTTTTCATTTATGAGTTTTTTATTCCATTTCTAAATACAAAAGGTTAGCCCACTCTGGAAGTTGTTGTATTCCCTATTTTCCATGCCCCCATTGACTTAATTCTGCCTTTTTTTGGAAATTAAGTTCTTAAGCATATTTGCCTGTTTCTGAAGTATCTATTCTGTACTACTGATTTATCAGTAGTTTTATTCCAAGACCACATTGTTTCAGTTCTTATAGTTCTATGGTATGTTTACATAACATAAATGCCCTTTTTACTGTACCTGGTGTGCAGCACTATTGTTTCTTTTCCACGTAGCCACAGAGCCTGGGATGCCACTGCTTGCTCAGTTGCCATGCTGACCACCTCTGGAGTTCTTCCCTGTGAATGCAGAATGTTAGAGGCAGCATTTAATGTTTCAGAAGGGACTTAAAGATTATTTAGTGTAACCTTCCTTCTAAGGAATCCTCTTTAAAACATTTCTGACAGGATTATGGAGAGGCTGGATTTTATGAGTACTTGGCTTTCTCCCAAAGTTTCTGATATTTCTAAATGGCCAACCACTCTTCCCATATTTGTTAAAATTAAACTGACACTAAATCCCTTTCCTCACTGCTTTTTCAATTTATTGAGAGATTAAAATTATCAGCAAAGGAAGGTGTAAAATTTTTATATCCTCTGATTTTATCAAAAGAATTTCCTAGGAAATCAAGTCTCTCATTACTGTCATAGCATACCTCTCAGACATGCTGTGCTGTGGTATACTTCCACAGTGACGCCTCTTCCATTTCCCTCCCCTTTCATCATCATCATGATTCTGCTCCCACCTTTATGAACTTCTCTGTTTACCTTCTTCATAGGAAGTGCAGCTCAAGATCATTACATTGAATTTGTTCCTTATATTCAAAATATACCATTATACTCTTTTACCCCAATCCTAAATCCCGTACTCCAAAGTCCTGGCTGCTCTGTGAGATGATATTTGCCTCCATTATTGTTTCCTGATTGTTTTATTCCCCATACTTTGTTTTGGTTTTGTGAAGTTTTTTTGTTGCCGTTGATTTGTTTTTGTTGTCAATACTTTGTGCATTGGTGTAGATCTAGGTTTTTAAAACTGGTCTCTTGGAACATTTGTGTTCCGCTGTTGTTGTTAGGTAGGTTGGGTGGCACATAAGTATTATACCTAGGTGGCTTAACAATGGTGGCAAACTCTGGGTTAAACACAGGTAAATTGCTTTCTTTGGGGTTTTTCCAAAGCCTTTACTGTGCTAATAATGTACAGTAAGTAGTTCTCAAAGACTGGGACCTACTATGTAGAATTCCCGAACTTAATTTAGCCTTTAAAAAACACTTGCATTAGGACAAATACCTAATGCATGTGGGGCTTAAAACCCAGATGACAGGTTGATAGGTATAGCAAACCACCATGGCGCATGTATAGCTATGTAACAAACCTGCTCATTCTGCACATGTATCCCGAAACTTAAAGTAAAATTTAAAAATAAATTAATTAAAAAACCTGTAAGCCTCTCATGAGATGCTAGAATATTCACTGTGGAGATCCTTCTCCACTACCATCCATCCTTCTATGCCTCATATGATAACCTCTGCATGATCTAGTGTACAATTTTGTTTGTTTATGTTTGTGCTGAACAGTGTCACTCCCTAATCTCAAATTTCAAAACAACTCTCTTCTGGTCAGGTGTTACCTGAAACCTTCTTCTCAGTTTTCTGTGGCACATGTTGTCCCTTTCCAGGAGGCCCCACCTCTGGTGTCACAAGCTGAAATCTAGAATATCAGATCCCAAGCTTTGGCACCTCTTGTGTGACCAGCTGCTCTCTTCCTGTATACCCTAATTTCTTTTCCAAAGTTATAATTATCAACTGGAAGCAGAGCTGAAAAGCAGGAGCTGAGTACCCAGGTTTTAAATTTTTTGCCCAGGCCTGCTTAGGAACTAGTAGTGCTTTCTGGATATTCTCTGGCCATGATATAACACCTTGCTTTTCTCTAAATTTTTTGAAATCTCCTTTCCTAATGTCAGTGATCTTTCTTTAGCCATTATTACCTCTGGGG